TCACAAATAGATATATAAATATGCTCATCTGACGATAATTTGATGTATAAAACCCCTCACCTTCTTGGGGCTCCGCCCCTTGGATCCAACACCAATTTGTGTCCTTCCAGTGTCACAAATAGATATAAAAATATGCTCATCTGACCGTTATTTATTGCCCAAAACCCCTGAGCTTCTGGGTGCTCCACCCCCTGGACCCCACGCCAATTCGTGACCCCTGTGTCACAAATAAGGTATAAAATAATAATTATTTAATGGACAAAACTCCTGAGCTTCTGGGGGCTCCGCCCCCTTGACCCAACACCAAATTGTGTCCTGCCACTGTCACAAATAAGGTATAAAATTATGCTCATCCGACGTTAATTTTGATGTTTAATACCCCTGAGCTTCTGAGGGCTCCGCCCTGTGAAAAAAACGTGTCAAAAAAACACGTTAATTTTTACCGTTTTTGGGAGATACCCCCCCCCCCCCTGGCGTTCAAGGGGGGGGGGGTACGATTTTTCAAATTTTTGAGGGCCCCAAAAAAGATTAGTGCTCTCTAGTAATTTCGCGACTTCTCCGGAACCGCGGCAGTTTTTCTTTCATGACTTTTTTCTTTCGAGTCTTACGCATCTTTTGAAACATATTTTTGTTGAAAATCGGACGTATAATTGCGGAGTCACGTGACCTTTTGTTTTTGCATGTCAAAAAAATCTAAAATCGCTCATTTTTGTGATTTATGTACCAAACATATGGAAATACCATTTATTCTTTTTAAAAAAGAGAAAACATTGGTTATTTGGTCTTGTTTCAAGTAAATTTGTTTGATTTGGGGTAAAAATAGTTGAATTGTGGTTAGAAATGAAATGAAATAACAAAATAATATAATACATAAATACAAATAATCAAAACAAGAGATAACATAGGGATAAACTGGCTCTTCCAACTTTGTTGTCGTATTATTATTCTAACGAATATATGAAGTGAAAAAGAACGCTCGAATATGAATTATATATGATTTATGGGTAAAAATGTGAATTCTCTGACCTTGTTTGCATAAATTACCATAAATATGCATTTTCGCGGCGATCGGCTGTGAAACGGCCGAGATCTTAGGAGGACCTCCCCCCCCCACCCTCAAGTCCACTCCAATCACATTGAAAAAAAGTATGACTTAAATCATCTCTCTCATCATTATACCGCTATAGTATTCATGTTTTTAATATTATTTATTTTCCATTAAACAAGTTCATAGAGAAAATACTTATCTCTCTGCAACATTAAAAAAGAATCTTCATTAATATGTCTTAATTTGTATTGATAGCCTTGTGGTCGCCAACAGTGGCGAAGGCAGGGGCGTCTCCAAAGGGGGTGTGGGGGTGCGACACCCCCCCCCCCCCACCTGTCAGGATATTGTCGGTAAAATTGCGCTGCCGTCGGGAAAAAGAGAAAAGGGGGAGGGGGAAAAAGAGAGTAAAAGGGAAAGAAAAGAAAAAAGAAAAAGAAAAGAAAAAAAGAAAAGAAAGGAAAGAAAAGAGAAGAAAGAAAAGAAAGAAAGAGAAAAACGAAAGAGCGGGAGAATAGGAAAGAAAGGAGGCAAGAGCCCTTTGCCCCCGTTACCCTCTTTTCTTCTTCTTCCTCTTCTTTCTTTCCTTTTATCTTCTCTTTCCCTTTCCCTTCTCTCTCTTACTTATCTTTTGGCGGGGGGAGGAGGAGGAGGCAAGAGCCCCTCTTTTCTTCATATTCTTCTTCCTTTCCTTTTTTATTCTCTTTCCCTTTCCCTTTCCCTTCTCTCTCTTACTTATCTTTTGGCGGGGGGAGGAGGAGGAGGCAAGAGCCCCTCTTTTCTTCATATTCTTCTTCCTTTCCTTTTTTATTCTCTTTCCCTTTCCCTTTCCCTTCTCTCTTTCTCTCTTATTTATTTTTTGGCGGGGGGGGGGGGGGAGGCAAGAGCCTTTCGCCCCCGTTTCCCTCTTTTCTTCTTCTTCTTCCTCTTCTTTCTTTCCTTTTATCTTCCCTTTCCCTTTTTTCCTTCTCTCTGTCTCCCCCATCAAAGAGACCACTCTGTAATCAAGACCATTCCATTTCATTTAATACATTTTCGATATACTTAAATTGGCAACTATTACCTTCTGTCCGAGATCCTCATTTTAAACGACTGATGCGAAAGACTAGTCGACGCACCCTTTCGAGAAAAGCCCCCCCCCCCCCCCCCCCGCTTTCATCGAAAGGGTGTGTTAAAATGGTACTCCGCTCTCAACGCACCCTTTCGAGAAAAGGCCCCCCTCTTTTATCGAATGGGTGCGTTGAGCACACCACACCGCACCGCACCGCACCCTTTCGATGAAAGCCCATATTTGTTGTATTGACCTACAGCGTATTATATTGGAGTAGGCCCTAGATTAAAAAGAAAAAAACCTCGAGGACGCCCTCTGTTGTCCTTTGAGGGTCACTTCGTAGCTGAGCTGATGTCCTTTTGAGTTTGTCCTTTCTCGTTTTCGTGCTTGATGTCTATTTGCTTACCGTAAACCAAAACGCCCTCTGTTGTCCTTTGAGGGTCACTTCGTAGCTGAGCTGATGTCCTTTTGAGTTTGTCCTTTCTCGTTTTCGTGCTTGATGTCTATTTGCTTACCGTAAACCAAAACGCCCTCTGTTGTCCTTTGAGGGTCACTTCGTAGCTGAGCTGATGTCCTTTTGAGTTTGTCCTTTCTCGTTTTCGTGCTTGATGTCTATTTGCTTACCGTAAACCAAAACGCCCTCTGTTGTCCTTTGAGGGTCACTTCGTAGCTGAGCTGATGTCCTTTTGAGTTTGTCCTTTCTCGTTTTCGTGCTTGATGTCTATTTGCTTACCGTAAACCAAAACGCCCTCTGTTTCTTCTGACCTGTACTTTGTCTATTTTGCTCTGACCTTTGATTTATTCTTTGTTAATTGGTCCTTTCTTCTGGGTACTTTGTCTATTTTGCTCTGTCCTTTGTTTGTTTGTATGCTTCTTTGTTTGTTTGTATGCATCTTTGTTTGTTTTTGTGACTGTTGATATTGGCCCGTTTGGCCGCCCATAATTTTCGTAATGTAACCACATTTAATGCATAAGTCATTGTGAAGTGCCTCAATACAAATTATTTCATTCACCTGATAGCTAGCTAGGAATAATAGTATCTCAATAGTCAAAATGCAACTGCATATATTAAGTGTTGCTAGGTAGGTCAAGCCATAGGCCCGAATTCACAAAGGAGGTTTGTCGACAAAACTTGGTTTTCGTGCGTCATATGACGCGTTTTGACGCGTTTTTACAAACCTGGTTTGTAAAAAACGCGTAAAAACGCGTCATACTATGACGTACGAAAACCAAGGTTTGTCGACAAACCTCCTTTGTGAATTCGGGCCATAATGTTTGCCCAACCTGGCAACAACTAATGTATGCAGTTCGGATTTTGTCTATTGGAAATGGCCTATTGAAAACATGACTATTCGGCGTCATTGTTATGAACTTCGCGATCGATGACTCGCTTGTTCGCGCACTGGCCGGCCTGCGAGAGGCCTGGTGAGCAGGCGTACATTCATTTCTTTTAAATATTTTGTTAATATGCCTTCAAATTAAAAGATCCTGGACAATCCCAAGCCCCCCCCCCAAAAAAGAAAAAAAGAAAAAAAAGAGTGTAAACAGTTTTGTATTTTTATTTTGACTATTTTTAAACACCAAAAAAGAAACTTGGGTTGTTACATTTAAAAGGTGGCCATCAATTACGCCGACCTATCTAAAATGACCGCTTGTCTAGAACAACTACTTTTTGTGTTTCGCTTGGGCAATCGCTATAGACAGGGTCGACCGTCCAAAGATTAACCAATAACTGATAATCATTTGGAGGGGAAAAGGGTTGTTTTTTTACATTTAACTTCCGCCTACTGCGCGTAAGGTGAAGGAGAAACTTCATTCAAATATAAATTGGACTTTATACACTGTTGGTCATAATGGTGGAATATTTATTTTTACCCCAGTTTAGGGAAGGATTTAAAAAAATTATTTATTTCTAATAGATCTAGATAATGGCATACATTCTCAGATTTTATTGAATATTAATTTGAGAGTGTTTGTTTTGCGTGACTGCTTAATCATAATTGTGCTACTATGCTAATCAGCTAAGGGACCTACGTCCTTAAGTCATAATTGACAGTAATGAGGATTAATGCCTCACAAAAGGGCACTTATATATAGCTGATCGACTCGATTTTTATCCCGGGGCCTCACAGTAACGAGGCCATTGCTTAGCCCCTGAATCATGACTGTACGCAGTGTTTGCTAGGGTACGCGGCCCCTTCCACAAATCCCCCAAAACGAAGAAAATGCAATAAATTGTCAAAAATTCAATGCATTTTCCCCCGGCCCCCAACAGGAAAAAACTTCTCTGTAGGGCCATGCATTATGGTTCAAGGCATGGCCACACAGAGGAATTTTTCCTGTTGGGGGCCGGGGGAAAATGCAATTAATTTTTGACAATTTATTGCATTTTCTTCATTTTGGGGGATTTGTGGAAGGGGCCGCGTACCTTAGCAAACACTGCGTACAGTCATGATTCAGGGGCTAAGCAATGGCCTCGTTACTGTGAGGCCCCGGGATAAAAATCGAGTCGATCAGCTATATATAAGTGCCCTTTTGTGAGGCATTAATCCTCATTACTGTCAATTATGACTTAAGGACGTAGGTCCCTTAGCTGATTAGCATAGTAGCACAATTATGATTAAGCAGTCACGCAAAACAAACACTCTCAAATTAATATTCAATAAAATCTGAGAATGTATGCCATTATCTAGATCTATTAGAAATAAATAATTTTTTTAAATCCTTCCCTAAACTGGGGTAAAAAAAATTATTCCACCATTATGACCAACAGTGTACATAACAAACAGTAAAACGTATTTTTGAACTTTGCTCAAATGTCTGCAACAAACAAGAATAGAATCATATTAATAATGGCTGAACACGGGAACAAAACAGAATACAATATATGCTGGGTATAATTACTTTGACAATACGGTCCAAACCAGCTATCAAGGCATTGTCCATTACAATGACCCCTCTCCGTCTCGCAAGCTTCTGCAGCACAGTGACATTGCTGAAGACAATCAATGCCAAAGGTACCCCCTTCACACTCTGAAAAAATAAAACACAATTCATGTTTATATTGGAGACATCTGACCAATGATTATTATTGAATACTAAAGGCGAAGATAACTTTCGCTCGGGTCTACTTGTACGCATGAAGTTAACAATGGAACAAGCAGTTGGCACACACCCTTTTTCAGATTGTTAAAGTTTCCCTCCATCAATGAAAACACTTTAAATGGAATACTTTGTCATGATATATTTTGGGTGAATCCAAACAATGAATACGATATATTAAACAAATATTTACGGCTATTTTTTACCTCACTATTCAAATTAAAATACATGTACATGTAGCTCCTCGGTGTTCTTGAGATTGCACTATGCCCCTCGTCTTGTCTTGGGGCATAATATAATACAACATCACGTTGGGCGAATAATCACAATAGTAACCATGCCCTTCAAAGAAGTCAATATTTGTCTACTAGAAGCCCCTCCAAAGTATACATTATAATAATGTATTTACTATCTCAGCACTATGTACATAGTATATGGTTGATATGACCAATGTACATACTGTACATGTACATGTAGTTATGAGCGTTCATACATGGTACATAAAAACAAAATACCTGTGTGTCAATTAGCACACTGTACCATTCATGTATGTACATGTTGTATGTAGACTGAAGATAAATAAATAGAAATTGATTTGAAAAATTCAACACCCTTTATTGTCAAATAGTATTTTACCTTGACATTGGACCTGGCCATTACTGCGTACTTTGTATCCTAGAGCACACTTCTGCTCAGGGCACTCTCCAGTCTGTTTCTCACATGATTCATCATTCAAGCAATGACATTTATCAGTGCATTGAGATCCATAGTAACCGGCTTCACATTCATCTGGAACTGAGGATGCCAAGAAAATATTTTAGAAATCATAATTTAGCAGGCACCAGCAAATAATATTAGATGAAGTCCACAACAATATGGTTGTTTCCATTACACAATTCTTTTCCTTGTAACTAGTTTGAATTGTTTCCGAGCACTATATACCAACTTCAATTATGGCACATATTATTACTGAATTTAACCGTGCCTTCACTAAATAAGTTCATGTATTTGTTGAATATGTCATCCATGAACATAAGGAAAATGGAATATATTGGACCACAAAACATAGGATCTGGATATGTCTACAACAATAAATATAATAACTTCAAATGAAAACTACTGAGTTATGCAGTAGGGTTGCAGGAGCAATCCGGTTCATATAGGCATAGGTAAACAACAAATAACAGGAAGTTTATTACAAAGCTGCAGTGTACATGTAAACATTCTGATTTCTCTTATTTGGGGAGAGCATTTATGTCAAATCATTTGTTATCATTGCTGACCATGACTTACTTTGACAACTGTCCCCAGACCAGCCAGTCTGACATCCACCTGTACATATTCCACTGTAGATGTTACATGATGAACCACCGCCTGCACAGTGACATGTCTGTGAACATCCTGGACCATATGTACTAGCAGTACATACTGTAATAGAATTCAAAAATATATAATCAAGATGGACAGATACAATACATTCATCAGATGCAGAAAGGAAAATATTGTGCATGTTACGATAGCTTCTTTTTAATTAATCTTCATCTCCTCCTCCTCCTTCTCCTTCTCTTCCCCCCCCCCCCCACTTTTATTTTCTTCTTCTTCTTCTTCTCCTTCTTTTGTCCAATGAGTTGCCCCTGACCTCACTCATGAATCTAGCCACATTATGATATGTGCTATATGAGGCCTAAATGTATATATTTTAATTATTAGAATTTGAGCACAATTAAATAACTTCGGAAGACTTACGTGTGTTACATCCAAGACCATGGGCACCGACGTCACATGAACATCCATAAGGATCAGGTAGGCAAAAAAGATACCCATGACATTTTGTGGCAGGATCATTGTTTCTAGTACATCGAAACTCGCAGTTCAATCCAAATCGATTTCCACCATCATTTCTACAAACTGAAGAAGAAAAAAAATAGTTGCATTGTTGAATCAAAACCTTGTAGACTTGTCTAAGAAATAAGATTTCATGAGATAAATTTCAAATATGGTTGCTTCTCCTTTGCAAATTGCCGATGGTGTCTTATTCTCTTTGAAAATAATAGTTTTTACTACATTGAATAAAGCCCTCCCATATCATGGATAGCAAAGTTTGTCGATCATACAAATTAATGTTATTGAGACATTTATTTAGATACTATTTATATATTTCATATGGTATTAAGGAATAACAACTAAAGCAAATCTTTTCCCCTGCTGTTTGTTATTTTCATTCATTTTTGCATTGATTCACTCGATGTACAGTGTATAAACATTACATGTATATGTAGAAAGAACCTCAGCTCTGGTAGAGAGGGACACTTTACAAAGTATTTACAAACTCATTTTACTGCTAATAAGACATAACATAGATAATATACTATAACAAATCAGAAATCAACTTGTTATAAACAGAATCATAAATGATAAATCAACATTATTCTTGCAAATAATTTCTGGTAAAATAAAGATTTACAAGTACATATATAAGAATGTCGTCAGGTAGAAGAAAGACATATTTGAAATTGAACATGTAGAATAGATGTACATTACCATTTTCTATGGAATAAGAAAAGAATATCTTCCTAAGTTCATTAAATAAATCGATACCGGTATCCGCCAGGCTCTGACGCTCGTGGTACTTTACACATATTACCCTGATTATAGCCGAGCTGCCAGGTAACTAGCGCTTATTAAGAGATAAACATCATTTAAAATTAAGCTCTACAGGCCTACTTACTTTCTAAACAATTCGGTCCCTTGAAGTTGTTAGGACAGATACATAGACCAGACTTGTCATCACAGACTCCACCATTGTAGCATTTATCACAGATACCATAACACTCAGGGGGACCCCACTTACCAGCAGCGCATTCTATTTGAGAAAGGGAGGGAGAAAAATAATTAAGTATACATGTCACTAAAGATTACATCATGACACGGAAGACAAAAGATAGAAGATAAGCAGGGTAATATAAAATGGAAGTAGACAAGTGCAAAGTTTGTTACAAAATAATGTTCTCGAACGTACAACTATTGAATATCGTATGCCATAGGCTCTGTCACATTCTGAATTTACATACGGGTAATTTTAAACTACCCATATATGTCAAAATCACAACACAGATCATGACATGCTGACACCTGAATTTTATCGTTGAATTTTCATAAATATTTTGGAACAAAATTTGCAATGGGGAAAGAGATGTCCATGTTACGATAACGCGACATCCGGAAAAGATCAGGCTTGGACATTATCTACTAGAATGCTCTAAAACTAATTGTTTTGTCAAGTGTTCAAATTTAAAAAAAAAAAATAATAATGAGTTGTCCACATGTAATTTGCATAAAAATCCAATGATTCTAAAATAAAGATTTATTGGCGAAATATGAAGCAGAGCCTTTTACATGCATCATAACAAACAATATTATATAAATAAGAAATGACCCCTCTCAAAATGCCCAGTCTGAATTAAGCAGAAATACACTTGTACATAATATACCTCTGACGATGAGTTTGTATAATCCTCCTCTATTTTGATCCCTCTCGTTATCATAGTAGATCTCATAGATTCCTTGGTCTGATGTCTGGATTGGGTTTGGGAAGCTGATCTGAGTCTGCCCACCAAATGATGTAAGAACCTCACTTCCATCTTTCATCCAAGTAATCACGTTGCCATTCGCATCAGGATTATTACGACTAGTCATGCTGATCATCACTCCAGTTTCATTCACATTGACTGTCTTTGTAAACAATCCATCCCTTGATATGAATTTAGCTGTTAAAAGGGATGATAATAATAAATGAACCAAATAAAAAATGTAATAATAATAATACATGTAGCACCTACATGTACATGTAATGTGCACTGTAGCCATTTACTCCCTAAAGGAAACATACATTTATATAAGGCTTGCATTCATATACGTGCATATTGAAATATATATTTCAAAATATTCACTTGCATGTTGGAATAAATTTGTTCCTGTTGATATTTTTCAATAACAAGTTTAGATCGTTTTAAATATTCGAACATTGCCGCAACTAGTCTGGTGTATTTCAAAATCTTTGGACTTCTGTTTGACAATGTTAATGTTAGTAAACAACATCAACACAAATGGGCATGTTCAGGCTTAACGCAATACCGTACATGCTTTGCTTATGATAAATTTTTGAAACTTTTGTGCTATTTACACAAAAGTCTAAAATCTCTTAAAAATAATCGTACTCTGGTATTTTCAGATTCATTTTCAGTATATATGTAAAGCATCAAACCTTTGTTATAGCCATTCTCAAGCAAACAATGTTCAAAAGCATCATAAGCGGAACTATTTTATTGAATCACTCTCACTCCTGATCCTCAGTAAACCATTTTGCGGTATAAACGCTTCTTTGCCAAAAAAATCCACAGTACCTGTTTTTACATTGTTTGATAGTTCATTGAAGAAAAAGAGTTTCTTACATTGTATTTTTAAGTTATATTCAAGACTTGGATTTATACTATTGCAAATGCGATTTCTGCCCTTAACAAGTCCTGAACCAAGATGTAAAAGTAGAGGGAAAAAACCTTAAATATGATATTTAGATTTTTCTTTCAATACTAATAACAATAACAAAAATGTAAATTCTGTAGATGTGTGACCATGATTTGTACGTTCCCTGGTAAACCAAAGCCAGGAATGGTTCGAGGAAATAGTGGCATGAACAGCCTGCCATAGTTCAAGTCCAATTTATATCGATCATAGTCTTTGTGAAACACTCCCCGAGAGTGTAGTTTTTTTTAAACGCCTGCCAAGATTTCACAAATTTATTGCAGTGTAAATGCAATCTTCGATAAGATACCCATTATCGCTCACATGACTCTCCTCGCTTCCATGGTAACGCATGAAGAGCACCGACAAGTCACACATGCGCACTACTCACAAACAAAATTGGTATGGTTAAACTTCAACGGGTTTTTGTTACAGGTTTTTTCCAGTGGTGTAAATGGTAGTCACAAAAACTGATGATTCTTCAAATTGGTGTTTGGGAAACATGTTTAAATGGGCCAATAGTAATGCATTATTTTCAATGAGGATTACTCCGTGATGTTCCATGGCAAATAATATTTCATTTTTTTCTCGCATTACAACATATAATATTCGATTCTCTATTCGACAATTTGTATAGCCTAGATCTGTTATACAAATTGGAATTTGTGATTAATGTTATTTATTCCGTCCTATTTACAAAGTATGAAACTACATGTATATGTTCTTACTGATCTGTCAGGAAAAACACATTTCTTTTGATTTCAGGTGCTTGGGATATTAATTGATTACATTCATTGGCAATTCAGGATTTGAACTGAGATTAATTTCGATTATTCATATATGACGTACAAGTATATGAATTATACGTGTACAAATCTTAAATCTATAAAAGATAACACTATACAGTCTATGAAGCAAAGGAAATGCAATTACTTTTGATAATTCAGTTATAAATATTTACAAATTTGTCAGATTTATATGTCCAGGTTTGAAGTAAACAGGATATCTGAGAGACAATTCATGAATTTCAAAATCTCCAATAGCAATACTAAAATGTTTTACTTAAATTGACTTCATAATGACCTCACATGGAATATGCTCAAAACTTTACTTTGACTACTTTACTACAGGAAGTTTCTATAGTATACATCAAAGAATAAATCTTTAAAAATAAGGAAATCCTATACTTATATTATAATAATAATCTTACTATTATTTCGTTGGAAAAATGTAGTAACCCTTGTAACATCTCGATCAGGTTTAGAAGCCTCACAGTAGAACGGACCGAAACCATCTCTATCCCATCCATCTCCTGTAGGGAATATGACCCGTCTGATGAATGCATTTCTAGAATCTGGATGTTCCACCTCGTCTGGTGGTGACCTGTCTGTTGTTATGGGTGCTGATCGACCAAATGATAGTAAAGCGTCTGTATCTGGTACACTGGGGTAACATTGATACTCCACAAGGCTATATGTATCTACATTGGTGTATCCTAAGGTCAGCACTGTGATATGAACAACCTCACCTGCAATATAACAAATGAACAGAAATTTACTTTTGCTGGATACATTATACTTTAGAGTACATCTCCCTGCAAGCATTCAGACACGGCATCTGAAGGACTCAGGTCTAATTAAAACAGCGTATTGCTGCATTAAGATGCATCCAGAACGCAAATAAACATAGCTATTGAAAATCATAATTTTATTGCAGATTTGTAGAACCATGTCATTAGTACTTGGAGCTGGAAAATAACATAACTGCCATCAAGATATTGCACATGTTAATACACCAAGTTTCGTCTCATAAATGTATGTGTATGTAAACTGGGAAAATACACGTTTATTCAATACCTAACCATGTGTTGATCAGCAACTTAATGCATTTAAATGTCAGTGTAGTATGTTTTGAGAAGCAAAATATTAAAATCAGAACTATAACCCCCAGACATGTAGTTCATAAATACATTGGTGAAGAAGGTAAAGATAAATTTATTACAGAAATAGTCCAATGAAAAGAAATCTTCATTCTAAAGCACACTTACATTTAACCAACATATCATTTTACAGTACTTCAAGTTATACCTTCAGTTAGACAACTATCAAGCAAAAAAAAGCGACCTTCACCTGCAAAATTAGCAAGACTTGATATAATATTGCAAAACTTTTGACAGATAAATATCAGTATATCCCTTCAAAGACATGTAAATTCGTGCATGAAATTGGTGTTTCCCTTGAATTTCAAACTTCATATTCTTTTCTTCCACAAATACAGATCAGTCCCAGATCAAATACACAAAATTGTTTGCTTAGAGTGAGTAGCCTGTACAATGTACAATACATCACAGAGATTTTACCAAACAGGAAAAAGGACAAAGATTATATATTTAAGACTTTACCCACATCTATGAGGATTTATCACTGTGATAAAATATGATTGTTACCATCTCTGACAAGACAGCAAGATGAATGAGCAAATCAGTTTTAATGAATTCCAGGCCTTCTTGTTTTACAATTGCTATAGTATATTCTCATTCTCCCCCACCCCCTTTATTTCAGTGAATACATGCCTCTCTATTCTTTAACTCTTTGGTTGCTTTCTTCACCTCTGTGCATGGTCAATAGTTTTCCACACGTGCAATTTTGCACAAAACAATAGGCTCCAATTTGACGGTAAGATTGCTTTGAGCATCACAATGTTTATGCAAAATACACATTTCTGGTTTTGATGAGCTCCATGACAGCCCTTTCGATACCAGTATAAAAATTAATCTTGCTCTGGGAATTATTGAATAATGTTGAATTCAAAGTGGCACAGGGACATTATTTGCATGGTATGTGTAGAGTAAATTTCCTGCTAATAATATAAGTTCCTCTCATCCCGTTTGTCCTGCTTTCTCCCATTCCATCTTTATATTGGTTCACGCTTTCCCCCTCTTATAGTTTCCTCCATTGCATTCATTGCATTCATTTCTTCTCCTTTTCTCTTCTTCCGTGAATTATCTTTCTTTGTTTAATCCTTTCTCCCTATCCTGTGAGCAAACGGAAGGGAAGAACAAGGTGAACTGGGACGAAAAAAAGTCCTTGGTCGTTTCCCACATGCAAACAAAAATACTTTTTATTCTTCTTGCTATTTTCATTACATTCTGATTGTATTTCCAAGAAGACTATTTTTCTTTCTTTTTTCATGAGAGAAAAATGGAAAATACGCTTCATATGAATATATTTTATAATCATGAAATACATTCAGGTTAAAGGTAAAGACCAGTATTGGAAACACCCCGACTTCAAAAAATGATATGGAAGCTCTTATTACCAATCATATGAAAGAATATGTTTTGACTAATACATGATGATCAAAATTTTACCGGGAAACCGCCTACTAATTGGTATATTTGGTAAATTAGTTTATCTACATGGTCTGTGAGAGATAAACGCACGTGTCGCGCACGTGTGCGTATAGTCCCATATACATTTTCTGTGTACAGTGCTTGTAACATTACGAAGACTGGGCCAAATTTCTTATCATTTTGATGATTCCAGAACCTTGCAGTACACACTAATACTTATATGCTAGATGATCAACCTTTTCTGATCGATTCCACAACGTTTCTTTCACAATGCAATCGCATGACCATAACTGGTCTTAACCTTTAAGGATTTGGAACAGAAGATAAAAGAAGAAAAAATATATTCAGAGTTGAAAAAAAGTTAAAGAAAAAAAAGATTATGTGCTGTTTTTTCAGTATTATTTTTTAAAAACTTGAACTTTTTAAGGAATAATCTATTTCAATCATCATGTTTGTTGAAGCAAATGGGAGAGTTTCCAGGAACTATTTCACACAGGTATTACAATCAATTTGGCAATTCTGAAATTCCCATATGGACTAAATACAATTTTCAAATATTCATAACTTTCCCATTTGTCCAAGTTTGTTCCAACTTTTACCAATCTACTCATTTGGTATTTCTTGGTTCTTTAATAGCAACTTGCTATTAAAGGAAAATTCCACCCTGATATTAAGTTGGTTTTAATAAGCGGGGGAAAGTGAGAGAAACAAATTTGTGAAAGTTTGAGCAATAGCAGATTAAAAATAGAAAAATAATGGATTATTGAAGTTGTAATCAGTGAAACACAAATTGGCAACACTGTGACGTATCGTGCAAGCTACTCACCGATTTCCCATGTACAGCAAGTGTTATAAACTTTTCTTTTCTCAGTTATTGATGACAGAAAAGAGTTGTTTCACACAAGGGTTGAATGAAAATATTCCTAAAGGAAAATGTGGATCTTTAATTACTTTTAGTACGTGCACAGTGCAAATGGAAAGCACCTCAAAAGATACGTCACAGAATTGCCAATTTGTGTTTAATTTCTGTCTCATTTCTGCTTCTATTAAAACCATTTTCATATCAGGGTGGATTTTCCCTTTAAGATTGGATTCAGACATGTAAAAACATGCACTCAATGCTAAATTAAAGGCATGTTACTGTAAAATATTTACTTCAAAGATAAATGCAATTCGTGAACAACTACCAAGCGTGTTTAGATCATGTTCCTTACGTATTTTTCCTTTGTTCTTTGGTTATCTGTACAAACAGCACGAGATGTTAGACGTAAAAACTGAAAAAATGGTTCGCTGATGATTCACAGGTATACCATACTATAATGATATCTGTAGAGCGCTGAGAAACGGTATTCAGTATTAATCGCTATATAAATCCAGATTATTTTTTGGTCTCCCTTTAGCACACACGCCAAAAAAGTTTTTTTTGTTTTGTTTTGTTAAAACAAATTTATTTGAGGGGGGGGGGGGTTAAACCCCCAAAACACCCCCTGCGTACGCGCCTACTTTCAGTTTTTCTATTCTACTTATTGTCACTGCAAATTTAACATTCGTACAAGCATCGTTGAGCCCTCCGCGAAAAAAAAAATTGCCGTATAAACGCATATGTTCATATGCCTGTACAGGGGTGGCGGAGCGACTTCCAAAATGGGGGAGGAAGGGGCAAAAAAAAAGGACACTGCATACACCCCGAAATTGTGATTTGCATTATCAGGAATGATTCTAATATTTTTTTCTTTTTATACATTTAAGGTAATACAACGTTTTGGCATGGTGTCATTAATTTCGTTTAAATGAACATATTGGACGCAATTTCGATTTTACAATATTTAATGATCGTTGCCGCGGTTGAAATTGAGTCTAAAGTGATGAAATTGTAAATAATAAATTGTGTGTGTGTGTGTGTGTGTGTGTAATTAGGTTTTTACAGACGTGTATCAATCAGATATGATTATTTACGTCTGGGACCGACCTTTTAACGTCACCATCCGAAAGACGTGACTCAGTTTCGAACCTGCGTCCTCGGCTGAATCAGTTTGTAACTTCCACTGTTAGCTGGATTACAGGCGCACGCCACAACGCCTTTATATTGTATAGCTCTCTCTCAAGACTGATTTTAATTCAGCTTTAAAACAATGTTTCTTGACTACTATCGACCGAGTAGCTATTCCCAGTTTGAAATTATATATCAGAACTGCATATTCTGAGATTGTCATGGTCGCAGCTACCATGGAATGGCCTTAGGCGCTATTTGAAATGTTTGAAAGGGAGCACCGGTAAATTTTTGATTATTCAATTTTTGAATAGAGCAATTATCAGAGGTGAAGGGGGCACTCATCAAAATAAAAAGGGGAACTTATCGTACCTGCAATCGGGCACTTCAAAGGGCACCTTTTCTATGTAAAAAGGGGCACTTTTGGGTTACCCACTCCCGTAGCACTGCCTTGAAGGTAAAGACCAGTTATGGTCATGCGATTGCATTGTGAAAGAAACGTTGTGGAATCGATCAGAAAAGGTTGATCATCTAGCATCTAGCATCTGCAAGGTTATGGAATCATCAAAATGATAAGAAATTTGGCCCATTCTTCGTAAAGTTACAAGCACTATACACAGAAAGATGTATATGGGACTACCCTATATCTCTCACAGACCATGAGAGAAACAAATTTACCAAATATATGAATTAGTAGGCGGTTTCCCGGCAAATTTTTTATCATCATGTATTAGTCAAAACATATTCTTTCACATGATTGGTAATGAGAGCTTCCATTTCATTTTTTGAAATTGGGGCGTTTCCAATACTGGTCTTTACCTTTAAAAATGGCACTTATGCGAATGGAAAATGAACACTTCATTGTAAAGGTAAATGGGAACTTGTCAAGGGTAAAGAGGCACGTGTCAAAATAAAAGGGGCACTTATCAGAGGTGAAAAGGGGAGGGACACTTTTACAAAGTTATAGGGGCACTTGTCAAGGTAAAAGTGGCACTTTTAGGGTACCCCCCTCCCGGAGCGCCGCCTCTGGGCCTGTATGGTGTGTGAGCCACGCAAACTTTGGGCTTATAGGGTCACAACAGTACGAGCCTTAATTGATTATGCTTATTACTAAGAGAGGAGTGGGGTTTGCATTCAAACACGGTCATCATTCTCACTGTCCAGCAAAGACGATATATTTATATGA